ATTTGAACTTTCCTATCAATTTCTCCTTTTTTCGTTTCCTGCCTAGGCCAGATCCCCAGAACGGGTCTGTCTTAGCCTTCTGAGTTGAAAGTATCAGTGATACGAAATGAAACGGGGAGGTGAAGTCTCCAGTGTTCAGAATGATGCAGCTCTCTCAGTACAAGTGACTTTGCTGAGGCCTCGTAGGAAGTCTGTAGCAGAACAGAATACGTTGGACGTCAATCTTACTTGGTTTATTAAGGCTATTTTGGTTTATATGAACACGGTGAGTTCACATCTCGGGAAGCATTGTTCGTGCTTCATGTGCTTGCGAGCATTACAGTAATGAGGAAGAACAAAGCTTCAACTTGTGCTTGATAGGGGAATGCGTGACTTTTGGAGACAGCAGCATGGATTCCCAGCGCTGCTGAAAGACTGCTTTGTCTTCAGCATTTCAGCTTAAAATGCCAGAGAGCCCATGCCACAATTGGGAAACGTTCAGTGCAAGTAGGAAGTCTCAAAATTTCAGGCTGGTATGGACCTACCCACCACATAAAACTAGCTCCATGCAGTGGGAAGATTGGCTCCTTAGGAGATCTTACTATACCAGACAAGTGGCTCATCAAGATAGACTTTACAAGTCTGAGTGTTGTGTGAGTACATCAGATCCAGCAGGAAGCCTGTGGGATGAGTGCTGTTAGGGTTGATTGGAATTTTTGCACTTTGGAATTGTTGCAGTCTTCGGTTTTATGACTGGAAACGTAAGAAGTCAGTACTTGAGCTTCATATGAAATACTTCTGTCATATGCAGTAAGCTGAATAAGGGTGCATGGAAGTTCATAAGGGTTTTGGGCATGATATAGAAAGAGATCCAGTTGAGTTGAAGTGGGACAGACTAATGGAAGAAGTGTGAAGTAAGAAGATCAGCAGGTGAAACCTCCATTTTTAGTAGGGACTAGTGTACTAAAATGATCAGTTATCTGAGAAGTAGGTCTGTCACCTCAGTAAGCCTGGTCTTTCAGTGGATGGAAAGGGCCAGGTGTGAATCCTTGTACACTGTATGAATACCTCTGCTATTTTATCTTATTAAGTGGTAGGTTTTCAATGGAGCGGTTTGCTGTAGTTTTGTTTTGGCTGACAAACTATATATTAATCCAAGGGGGGAAAATCCATATAGAACAATACTTGTTTGCACTGATAACCAGACTTGGGGAAATCTTGAATAAACATGGCGGTAGTTTATGCCGCACTTGAACCAAGTTGTAAATATTGTGACTTTTCTAACACACAGTCTCTGCTCCAGTACTTCTTTCTTTCAGCTGTGCATTCCCCTCTGTTATACATTACTGTTTCTTGAAAATAGTTGTGGCGGCTGATTGTAGTCTGGGAACTTTTTCAATTTGCGGGAACTTGCACTAGCAAAAACATCCTGGCTGTTTTTATAGAAACCTTGCCCACACCCCACTTTGCCTTCCAAACATCTCTAAATCCCTGTTGGATTCTGCTGACATCACTGCGGTAATCCACATATTTACTTTGTGACACAGGCTAGTGGTTAGAGCAGGCATGGAGTCAGGACAAATGCATTTTATTCCCAGCTCTGACTCCCTGTTATCTTGGCCAGGGTTGTTTAATAGTACTGTACTTCACTTATCTCCTGTCTTTATAAGCGTTGTAACACTGACCACGTAAGAATGGCAGGAAGTACGATGCGTCTATAAAGCACTTTCAGTGCACGTTATTGTAAATATGGGTGGGGACAGTGGTTTTCATTGTTATTCAGGTGTCTGCTTGAGGGGATAACCCCGTATTTTTTGTGGGTGTCCTGAGTTGAACCAAGCAAGATGTCTGATGTTACCTAATTTGTTCCTATAAGTTTGGAGGGTTTGATTTCATCCATCCCTGCAGAGGAAGTCTGGTAGCTACCATGTGCCTCTTTTTGTCAAAGCTACCTGATTCTTCTCCAAATGCTTTAATTGGTCATTATTTACCAAGGTAGCCAAGAAAGAGTCAGTGGTTGTAACTATTTGTTTCTGCATTTATTAAAATCCTTTTATTCATGCTTGAACACTAGCAAGTTGATAAATATTAAGATCTAAAAATAAGGTAGGTCTATTTTTTCCTTTGGTTAAAGTGGTTTTTTACCTGTAGGATACATTAATATTTCTCGAGTTTCTGGCAACAAAGTTGATTTACTGGGATGCTGTGATAAGGATCTCAGTTCAAAATCAAAGAGCCCTGAGACTGCTTTACCCTCTGCTTTGTGCTGCCTTTCCAAATACTTTGTTACAGTTTTGTCATTGATTTATATTTTTTCTAGCAACTCTTAAGTTGTTTCCATCCATTTTATTTTAAATGGGTTTGATTTGTTTCCCAGCTGTCTTGACTCTTTTAATGTTACCTTTCTCCATTCAGCATTTGCTTTTTTGCCTGGCACTTTGGCTATTATCTGCTGAGCCTGATACAAGTTGGACTCGTTCTCCGTTTTGAAACGTTACTGGGTCAGTCCTCCCAGTGTTTTATAAGTTATCTTCACATGTATTTTGTGCCCACGTAAAAGAGGGATGGATGCATAAACTCTTCCTTTTTTGAAGAAAAAGAGATTCTGACATTAATCTGAATCCGTTTATTAAATTCTTTCACTTGTCAGTGGTAGTTCTTACTCTCGAGTGTTGCCCAACTTTCAGCGTGATTTGCATAAGAGTATCATTAGTTTTAAAAATACTGTAAATATTTATAGCCCCTTTTGAAACAAACTGGATGTTTTACTGTGAAAATCCCTGATGGTAGGCAGTTGCTTGTAAATGTTGGTGGATGGGCCCACAGTTAAACTCTTCACAGGTTTTCAGGGTTCTTTACCAGTAGACATATATCATGTTGAGAAGGTTATTGGAAAATCACTCTGCAACAAATTATGCAATGGCCAGTGGATTGTTCAATACAAATAACATTACGTAGCTAATGATACCCTTTTCATTTTAATATCTTTAACAGTTCATCTGCATTACTTTGTTTTATAGATGTCACTGACAGATGGAAAAATTATAATGTAATAATTTTGTAATAAAAGGAATCCTGAAAAGTGTACAGTAGTTTCTTGACTGTTGCTTTTATGTTCTGTATACACTTGAGCTGTGGCACCTTAATTCGTTTTTAAACTCACTCGGTCCTTGAAAAATATGCTGGACTAACAGTTCTGAGGACTGAGGGTGTGTCTACAGGTGCATTAATACACTTTTTAGTTAATGTGCGTTAAATCTAGTACCTTGATTGTGAGGTACTAGGAAAATGTGCATTAGCCTGTCTTAATATTCATTAAGTAAAGAGCATTTGGCTCCTGTACACATGCAAGGAGCCTACTCCAATGTGCTGTAATTCTGTGGAAATTAACGCACACTAGCAGCCTCCAGCGTCATGTGTATCAGCATCCCCACACTGAAAAATGGCAGTGGGGCACTTTAAAGCTTTCAACAAGCTTTAGTTCAAAGTGCCCCCCCACTACCCACCAGTTTTCAGCATGGGGATGCTGATGTACATGATGCGCTGAATGCTTTTAATTAGCATGGCTCTTGGAGCTGCACTAATTAAAGCACACCCCCCCCCCATGCCTCAGAGCATGTGTATAAACACCCATTGGTTTTGAAGTGACACTTAATGCGCATTAACCTGTTTTAATGCTTATTAACTAAATAGCACTTTTTTTCAGTAATGCTTTAATACACATTAAAATAGGCTAATGCACATTAAAGTGCACATGTAGATGTGCTGCACGTGTCAGCACAACCATAGAACAGATATGGAATAAACAAGGAGGGGACAGATTGTGTCTTGTCTCGGCATAAGAAGGTAGTTCATCTCCTGAGCCAGCAGAGCTGTAGAGAGGAACTTTTAAGCAGTGACTTTTAAGATTTCAGATCTGTGCTTAGGCACAAATACCTTGCCAGTTGAAGAATGCTGGGAAGACAATTCAGGGAATAGGCAAGAGAGCTGAAGTTTTTGTTTGAAGTGGGGAAAAAGTCAGTTTAAGGGCATTACTGACCAACTGTGCTGCTGCCACGGACTTTATGCTACATGAAGAATGCTTGCATTAGACTAATACAAGATTGCTGCATCTAGGGCAGAACACAACAGTGTGGCATTTGTCTTGTATACAAAGCTTGCACATTTATTTATAATCAGCCTTAAAGGTTGATTCCCAGTCTCTCTGCAGAACATTATGTGCAGGCCTTTCTGCAGAAAAATTGGACTCGATTGAAAAAGACAGTCTTGTGAATCCTGAAGGAATCTGGGCATTTAGCCCAGGAAAGGGAGAGTTCCATTCTTTTCAAGAGCTCTGTTTAACCCTCTGCCTGCGGAGCGAAGAATAAAAGCAGCTGAGCAGATTGCAGAAGGGACTTGGGCTCTTCTGGTCTGCCCGGAGGGTCAGTCTGGAGAACTCTGGTGCATGAATCGTTATTCTTGCCCATGTGGGCAAGGAAGTGTTTTCATACACTGTGGAACATAACTGTTCATATAAAGTTAGTAAGAATCAGTAGTTAAAAGCAGGGGGCTGTTCTTTCCAGATGTGGATGGATTCTTTTACCCAATATGTTGGAAAAATGATAAGCATTTTTTTTTTTTAAAACCCAGCAGGTCAGACTTTTTGATGACGACATAAAATAATAGATTTTTATGAACACGTATACTCAGGAAAAGAAAAGCATGCTTCTAATTGACCTATGTTTGTAAGGAGGGAAAAGATGTTACACAGGCAAAGGTTTTGACTTCTGTTTGGATATTACTTGCAGGATCCAGATGCTCTGAAAGCTATTTTTGAAATGTTAGCATCTGGCTGCTTTGCATAGAATTCTATGAGGTGGCTTTGAAGTTGCCTTTGGATTTGAATCACATGATTCCTGAGATTTGGCTGAGTTGCATAATTTTCAACATCACTTCCTCTTACTTTTGGTTATGAGAAATGTAAATACTTTGAGCTACAGTCCTGAATTTTTGAAGTTAAGTGCATGCATGTCTTCCCCCTTGGCAGACTCCGTGCAGCAGGACAGGTATGTAGGTTTCTGGTTTCCTTTGTCTTGGCATGATCAAGTGAACTGGCCCCAGGGGCCGGCTTCCTGGGTGTGGTGCTTCAAGCTGGACTCCTGGGCCGTGCGCACCTGCCTGACACTTGACTCACAGTTTGACACGGGCACACGGGTACCCTGTGCGCCTTGAACACATCTGAGAAATGGCGGCAGTACTTCAGGAGTGTATTGTGAGGCTTGCTGAAAGCTGGTAAAGACCTCTGAAGCGCTTTGGTTTCCAAGGGGGGTTTCTTGGTAGTGCTTCTTCTGTCACAAGATGTTTGCAGGCTTTAGTCATCGGACCATTGTGCTTCGCTTTTGTGGAGGTCAGCTGAGATGTTCTTCCTAAATTTGAGTTGAGCGGAAGCAGAAGCACAGAGGTGCTGTCCTTCAGAGGGGATCTCGCTGGGTGGTCCCCCAGGCTGACCTACAGGACGGTGTGGAAGGCCTGCCTAAACATTTGCTCCGGCTTTTGCTGATCCCTGGTTAACACAAGCAGTTTGTTTACCCAAGTGGGTTGGGTAACCCGTTGGGGATTTGACTTGTGTTCTTTCTGGTGGCTAGATTCTCGGGATTGGTCTCAGCACAGCTATTTCAACGGCAGTGTGTGGCTAATAGCGATTATGGTTTTGTTAATATATGAATGCATCTGACAACCATTATGATAGGCGGCATGTTATACAAATCATGTATTTCCAGTGTAGATGTAATCTTTCTGCTAATCAGAAATGTGCATATTCTGAGAAGGGTAACAGAAGTGTTCTTATATAATTTGGCTTCAGGCTTGAACACTTTATACATTTCAAGGTAAGCATGTTGTTGCATGCTTAGCAACCAAGACAGAAAGACTGCAGATAAAAATACACACACATTAAAACTAACTTGGTGGTGGCAGGAGGTGGTTGCTGGTGTGGTGATTTAAAGGAAAGTAAAAATAAATAAATAAATAAATAAATATAATGGATTTCTTTACAGAGTTCAAGGATTTCACATAACTTGAACATCAAAGGCCACAGTATCAATTTATTTGTGACACAGCTGTTTGAGGAAAAAGAAAAGTACTTGGCGAAGCTGGCTGGGTGCTGATGTCTTATGTTTAAAGTATTAAATCTCCTTTGGAGGAGCTGGTGTCATTTTAATACACTCTAAGCCTATCCGTGTTGAATGAATTTACACGTGCTTATGTATATATTATTTATTTACATGTCTTAAATATACATACACCGGTAATGGGTGGGTCTCATTTCACACAGAAATTCAACAAAGTGAAATAAGATGCAAGACAAGTACAGTTAGCCTGGTGAAAAGGCGCATTTATCTCATTGTCACATTGATTACGCAGTCATAACTATAAATCACCAAGAACTCTTGGCACCAGTCCTAGGACTGTTTAATGGGAGCCACGTGAAACCATCTTGTAATGAATGGTGTGAGCTACAGGGCATTTAAAACATATTCAGGAGACTTTTTAAAACAATTATATATTTTGAGTTGGGGCCAAGTTCTGAGGAACCAATTTTACGAGTTACTCAATTTCAAAAGACACGTACAAATGCTTCCAAGCCAAAAATCTTTCCCCCCCCAAATCCATGTAGCAAATGACGGAATAGGTGGGACCCAAGAAAGTGCTGTGACTGCAAAGGTTTATTGGAGGGAGGAAATAAGATCAGAATAAAACGTGTTTGAGGGCTGATGGCATGTTTGGAGCTGTACAGACCTTTCCTACCTGAAGATCAGCTTGAATGAGTTTGCATTAATATTGTCATAGGGAGGAGAGACATAGGAGCTTTCAAAATCTTAGGTGGGGTGAGTTCTTGATAGAGAACATCTTTTCATTGGTAATCAAGCGGTGGTAGATAATGAGGACTGAACTGTGGTTGAGCAGAGTGGAGTACTACAAGGGTCAGTGTTGCAGTTTTGCTTTGGGGAAAACTGCAGACTAATATGTCTGAAGATCAGGGGTAGGTATTGAATGGACTGTGAAGTCTTGATGCAACAAATAATGATGATGGACTCCTAAACAAATGTGCGTTTGCAGGCTGGTCCTACGTGGACTGTATCCCAGAGCATTTTGCTGGTGATGAGTGCCAATAGTTCTTTCAAGGGCTCTGCCACTGCAAATGTAGTTTGCTTTTTTTATGGGCACTTAATTGCCAAAAAGATATCTCCCACTTCCTTTCTGTTTGTCAGTGAGCAACAGAAACATGAAGTGAGAACTGATACCCAATCTATCTATTTTTTTCTCTTTTTAAAGCAGGCTTTGGTTTTCCATGGCTGCTAATACAAACTAGATTCACTGGCTGATGCTATTGACTAGTAAATGTTCTCACCTTAGTAGGCACGTAACATCCAAATCTTCCTTCCTGTAGAAAATATTAGAGGAACAATGAGCCTTACATTGTTGTAGCCACGAGTTTCCTGCAGTTTGGGCCAGTGAGAGGGGACGGTTTCCAAAGTGGAGAGCTGGCCAAGGATGGCTTTCTATATGCAAGCCACATGCAGTCAAATCTAGGGATGCTTAGCAAATGTTTTTTAGCTAACGTCCACTGGAAGGGGTAGGGGAGACTCATGGGTCAGGGAGAATCTCTTTACCAAAGCATTTATCAAAGCATTATGAAATGGATATCTGGGGGGATGTTAGTTCATGGATATTAATTCTCTACCTCATTTTCTCCATTGGGGAAAATGAAGACATACTTAAAGTACTTTACCCACAGGATGGTGGTGAGAACTGATGGGAGTAATTCATATCCAATACATGTTAGTAACTTTAAAAAAAATAATTGAACATGGTATTTTTGAAAGATAATGACCAAGTAATGGGAAAAACCATGACAAGCTATTTTGCTTTTCAGAAACCTGTTCGTGGGTTTTCCTGCTCCTATAGTATAGAGTGGTAGACAGGTCCTGTTGAATTCTTCTGGTGGATCGATTGATTAAAGCTGGGAACTTTAAACTAAACAGGGGGTAGAGAATGATTTGAAACGGAGTAGGAAGTTTGACACCGATACTTAATTATTGGCAGGTAACATTTGTGTGGTTTGTTTTTTTTTAGAAGTCTACAGTGAGAGCTGGTGCTGAATAGTTGTAAACATGTTGACTTCATGTCGTTTTGCTTCTAGGTACGGAGCAGTGAATTACAATGGCTGTCACACCATTTGTTTAATGAATATCGGCTGTTGACATAATACGAAAAAAAGCTCTAGGGGTTTTCAGTCCTTTTACTAAAACATTCCTGGTTAATGGATTTTGGTATGTTCAAGAACATGCTGCTCAACACTCTGTTACTAGGTCTTGAGACCCCAGTAAAGTCTACACAGAGTCCTAATGCAACCTCCTCCCTACCTGCTTGCAGGTCACATTAGTCAACACATTCTACTTTTTATGAGTGGTAAAATAAAAATGCTAAAAAAAGACCTCGTTCTGTGCTGCTAGTTAACATTCTGCCAGTGTTTTTGTTCTCTGCCTTTTCTTTTAGGAGCTTATAAGTCGCATGTAAAAAGTTTGTTGAGGGCTGTGACTTGGCTGCTTTGCTTCAGTCTGGCAGCAGATATATGTGGATTATTTTACAGATAAAAGAATGAAAGCAATACTATTTTTGCATTAAATGCTCAGGAACCTCGTCCATGTTGCAGTGCGTGGACATACCTCCCATTACAGAGAGATCCTTGCCAAGTTCAGTGAGAGTACACTTTTGAACAGGAAAGACTCCAAGAATACTTCTCATTATCCAAGATCTAAAGATATTTTTGAAGCAATAAATTGTTCTTCCTGAAATTTAAGTGTTTGGTTAAAGAAAATTTCACTTTAAAAAAGCCGTTATTGCTTACAGTTGCAGGCTGTGTGCTTCACGAGGCATTTTGCTACCAGACCAATGTGCTTTTTAAAGATTGACTGTATGAATATACTTGTTACGTTGGAGCTAATGGTTGAGATCTGCTGTCAACCTTGTCACCATCCATGTTTGCATTGTGGACTAATGGCTGGTGCAGGATCCCCCCATGAAGATTTTTTTTAAACCTTTCAGTAGTGGGACAGCTGAAATTTGCCATTTTAATTGATCTTCAGAGATTGAGATTTTGGGGGAAAATAGAATTGAATTAAACAGTATATTAGTTTGTCATGGATAGGATTCCTGAAGCAAACGGACTATATTATAAGAGGAACTTAAGTGTCTTTTATCTCCTAACACTAGTGACTATACTATGTCATTGGGCTTTTCAGGTTTAAGTCATTCACATTGAGTTGTTTGGAAGAGGATGTACAATTTCCTCTAATGTTCTAAGTTTTTTTCGAACCTTTTGATTGAACTAATGATGTGTGCAAACCTCCTGTTTGACAACTTTTGCCCTGAGCTTCTGTGTCTCTTTTTCATCTTTTAGATTATGTAGTCCTTGCTCTGTGCCTGTGCCCTTTCTAATCTGATTTTTTCCATTGCCGGTATATAAGCCCCCTGCCCTGCACAGTCGCAGGCAAGACCAACTCTGTCCTTCTTAAGCAAAATGTTTTAGTAAGCGATGTTGTCTTGCTCAGTTCCTGTAGAAATCTCTCCTATTTCAGTGGCACATCTCAAGTTTTTCCTTCAACATCCGTATTTATAGCTCTACAATTTTGGCAGGTGTGCATTGCACGTTAACACTGTTTTTTGGATGTTAAATTGCTATTTGCTTATGGTAATTTCCAATCATTTTAAGGTGACTGTCGAAAGAGAAGAGCAGAGAGGGAAAATTTGTCAGGGATTTACAGCAAATACACTCTGCTTTTGGAAATACTGTCAGAAGTTTAATTGTTAGGTTCAAGTAAGTTTGTCATGTGCCAGACAGAATCAGTCTGCTGTAATGAACTGGTTATGTACTTCCACCAGCAAAGCGAGAGTGAGCAGCCTTTGGTTTCTCAAGATTTCCTATCACCTTGTAATGCAGAAGGAAGGGGGGAGGGGGTATGCTGTTTAACCTAGCCCGTAATTAGGTTCTACATGGAGGCAT